AACTCGAGGTATGAGTTTTGTTGTTCTATTTATTTTATTTGGGGTTTAGGATTATCCACCTTGTTATAAATTTGAATTCTAGTGTTTATTGGGTAAACTGTAGTTGTATTTGGGGTTAGTTATGAACCCTAGAAATTTTCTCTCTACAAGTTTCGAGTTAGCACCTTGTGCGAGCTATCTCGTTGATAGATGAAATTTGCGTTTATGCACCATAGCTTTCTGGTGACCAACGTCAGGATGCCTCATCGAGATTAGACAAACGAGAAGTTCTGAATGTACGAGATCACTCGAACGTCTAGGGCAGCTGACATGTGGACTGGAGGAGCAGTGGTGGAGCTCGATCATTGGAGTGCGATGATTGTGATTTAAATCTTCGAACGAGTTGTCAACCGATGCCGAAGAGTTCTATTGATCAATGGAGTATTGTTAACGTGACCCTCGAGGATGGCAAGACCTCGAGGAAAGCAATGGCTACTTTTATTGTGTGAGTGATGAACGTTGATCGCGAAGGCTGACAGTTTGACGGAATGACTCCGTAAACTCAAGTGGATCCAGCATATTGCTGACGCCGAGTCCTAACTCGACTATTCTATTATCGTTCACTATACCGACTACTGGCATTTGAGGCCAGAAAAGGATCGTGCCATTCATTTCAGGTGCAAATGAAGGAGACTGATGACCTACACCAGAGAGGATCAACGGTGGATGAATATGGTTGAACCCTCGCGTGGATGAACCCTTCTACTCGACATTTAGTCAATACGCAGGGACAATCCCATGAGTATGCTCCTATTTAGGATAAGAATAAACTAAGCAAGGAGTTGACAACTGACCGGGAAATTGAGATCGTGTGTTGGTTATTAACCTTCCAATTCTACGTGTTACTTTTAATCAGTTGTGCAAAATTTTGTGCTTTATGTGTGGAACTAACTTTATTTAGAGGCTTTGTGTACAAATAAGGATAAGCAATCTGTTTTCTGCTAGACCTTATTTGTTGCAAGGTTGGTGTTGTTGTTTACGATAACTCCGAGTCCGTGTAATCGAAATTTTCAAACGTCGTCGCAATTCTCTATGGTATCGTAGCCTGGAGGCCAATGGTGGCCATTTATCAGGTCGTGATCGACTCGTATGTGGCACCAGAGATGGTTTTCTCTAAATTGGAGTTGTTGATGATTGCGAAAAAGTTGTTGTACCTTAAAAGATTATGAAGGATCTTTTAAGGAGGGTAGTGGAGGCTGGAGTAAGAGCATTGTGAAGCGTAGAACTGCCCCTATCTTTAGAATATTCGTTTTATTGTAATTTCTTAGAATCTCCCGTTCTTTTGTTTCGTTGGGTTTTCTGGAAGAATCTTTTTCTTTCTTGCACTTTTGCAATATCTTTGAAAGCTATTGTCTTTGCTTCCCTATTCACATGGAGTTTTGAAACCAAGTCTTGTGACATGATGTATCAATTGAGATAAGAGTTTTCAACTTTCTGTTTGTCATATATCATTCTTTCAGTTGTGTTTGGGTATTCCATTCATCCGAACCAATTCATTTTTATTACCATCAAAGACAAATTGGACCATTTATGACACGCACCAATCAGTTGGGGACACCTAAGAGGAGTCAGGAGGAACTGCAAGGAAGGCCACTAGACGAGCAAGGCGAGCTACAACCAACCGGAATGACTGGAGGAGCCGATCTGTTTCATGGCAAAGAATGTTGCACATCGACAACCGTAAACCTAACCGATGTACGATGGGGGACGATCAACTACTATCATGAGGTGAAGACCCGTTCTGATATGGGATATTATACCTCATGGACAAACCGGTCCAACAAGTGGTTTAAGTAAAGCCGGGCATAAACAGGATGGAGATGGTCGAAGAGGATATGGAGGGGCACTGTTACAGTGAAACCATCTCGATATCAGGAGGGCGAGAGCACTGGCACAAAGGAGCAGTTTAGAAGGTAGGTGAAGTCCGATCGACGAGAGGAGAGATCGAGCAGAGAGTTGCTCAGGTGGTCGACACCAGAGATAGGAATGACCGGGTGGTCGAGCACATAGTAAAGGTTGACTTGGATAAGGTCAAAATATGATGGGATTCTAACGGAATTGCAGAGGTGTCAGTGGGACGTCAACAAATCGCAAGGAAATATTTTGCTCCATGTGAGGGTGGACACGTGTCGAAGAGGTATTGGTGTAGAGGATAGTGGCGACGGCTACCCCTGACACACGCACAATGTGTGTGTACAGTTGGGCAGTTAGGGCAGATAGCTCATCAAATCCGGGCAGCCCCAAGGGCAGGTATCTCACCCCTATATATATGGGGTGAGCTTTTATTGTTGAACACGATCATTCTGTTACTTACTCTTAAGAATTGATTGATTACACACTGACTTAAGCTTTGGAGGCTCTTCACCGGAAAACTCCTCCGGTGTGAGAGTTCTTTGTAGGTGCACGACGTTCAACCGGCAAGGAGGAAGGCGATTATTCAGATTCCAGCCGGTCAGGAAGTTTTATGTTACCATTTGGCGCCGTCTGTGGGACCTTCGTTCAAAAAGCAGTGTTGTGAGGTACTGAGCTCTGTAGCTATGGCGGACGAAATTCCCAAGGTTAATCTGCAGCAGTCGTTCGATGAAGCGTGGCCGACGGAGAGGTCGATGGGGCTTGGCCCTCCTCTGGGTTTCTCTGGCCCTTCCCAAACGCCGATCGTGTCTGCCCCACAGGGTGTGGTTATGTCATCGGCGATTCCCGGAGGAGACGCGGGCTGTAGTCGCGCCCAGGAAGCTCGCGCGGCACTCGCGGCGGCGATGCCTCCGCCGCCGCAGTCGAATCCAGGGGGAGCACAACCAACAGGACCGGCGATCCAGGGCGAAGCGCCGCTGCAAGTGGGAGAGCAACGCCCTGATCAGCAGGTGGTGATGACCAGGCAGGAAATGCAGCAAATGGTGGCGGATGCAGCTGCGCAGGCGGTGCAACAGGTCACAAATAGCCTTTCTCGAGCAACCACAACACCGACCACTGTGGCAGGGACACACCCGAATGCAGAGGAAGATGAATCTAGTTACGTGGGAGGTGGAGCCCCACAGGATTGAGAGATGGAGAGGATAGCTGAGCAGCTGCGTAAACTGCAGACCAAGGTGGATGGTCGAACGGAGAGACGTGCTCGAGGACACCCATTCTCGAGGGACATACTGGTCGCACCCTTGCCAGCTAGTTTACAAGCGGGGCCATGTCGGACTTCTTTGGCCAAGATCCCGGCTCGTACTTATGATGAGGTGCTGAAAAGGTGCAGGAAATATATTAACCTCGAGGAGACTGAGGCGGAGTTTGCCAAGGTGGAGGAATTGGGTCGTGTGGAGCCAAAGAAGGAGAAGGCAATTTTGCCTAAAAGGAGAGGTTCGCCCAGGAGGGAAGGGAGAGCTAAGCAGGATCGAGGGCGTGAGGACAAGTGGAAGGATCAACCTATCTCTGGAGGGAAGAGGTTCCATGGTTATACCCCGTTGAATGCAAAGGTGGCCGAGGTTTTGGTGGCTATGGAGAAGGAGATTGATGGGAAAGATTTGACGTGGCCTAGGACGAGGTTCGAGGGGCCCACTCAACCTAAATTGAGGAGATATTGCCGCTTCCACAAAGACTATGGGCACACCACCGATGATTGTCGACACCTCAAAGACGAAATCAAACGCCTTATTCGGGCATGACATCTTAAGGAGTTCGTTTACCAAGATAAATTGAGGGGAAAAGAGAAGAAGAGGTGCCGTGAGGAGCCGGGGGAGAGGAGTGATCGCGATGAAGATGATGAGGTGGATACTCAAGGAGGTCGAGATGGTCGAAGGAGAGATGAAGGAAAGAGGAGGCGAGGAGGTGGAGATCGAGAGAAGCAAGGAGATGGGGGCC